TAATACAAAAAAGAATTAAATATATTTGTTTTAATTAGTTTCTTCAATTAAAACTTTTTAAAAACTAAAATATGAAGAATGTTAAAAGTAATCATATCTGTTTTCGATCGAATTTTTAATGATTTTTTTCTATTGCAACACTAATATAACAAAAAAATACAAATTGACATTTGTGTCACAAACTGATTTTTAAATTCGCTTTGTTTACCTACATGGAGAGTGTTGATTTATTGTGGATTTTCTTTCAACGATTGTTTATTCATTATGGACTCCGCCCTTTCTTTTTCCAACGACCCCGGCACATGTTCGGACCCCGAATTTTGCTCAAACGATGACCCTGGCTTTTGTATTATGGACTCCGAACATAGCATAAACGATGACCAACACTCCGTAATATGGACCCCGAAACTATTTGGATGATAAACTGACATGGAAACCACACATTGAGCATATCAGATCAAAACTCATCGCTTGTAGGAGCACTCCGAAGATCTAATAATTGTATACCAAAAAAAGTGCGAAGTGTTATCTACAATTCCCTGATAAAACCACACATTGATTACTTAATTGAAATATGGGGGTCAGCTTCAAAGTCTAACCTTAAAATCTTACAAATTACGCAGAACAAAATTATAAAAGTACTTTTTCACACCATCGATAGAACTGTACAAAAAATCAAAATTATTCAACCTAAATCAAACATATATTTTAACACATGTATTTTAATAAATAGATACTATCTAAAAGTATTCATTCAAACATAACATTTACACAAAAATCAAACAAGCATAATTTAAGAAACAGACATAAACTTGAGTTACCTAAAGTCGAAACCTTAAATTATGGACACAAAAATATATGTTTTGATGGAGTAAAACTATATAATGATTTGCCAAACTACATAAATAAATGTGAATGTTTAAATGCTTTTAAAAGTAAACTTAAAATATATGTATATATATATTAGACAATATTAAGTAGTACTAGCCGTTCCATGTATCAAATATATAAATATCAAATGTATGTGTGTAACATTATTTAATCTCATGTAAGTGAACCTATGTATGTTCTTATGAGAATAAAGATCTTTAACCATAAACTATCTGCATCGCTAACTAAAATAATCACAATGGTAAGGAAGCAACAAAAGAAAATTATTGTAATTGCATGGTTGGCCGAAGGACAGTGGGTTCCTGCGCTCATATAGTTACTATTTTATGGTTTTAAGTTGGGCAAGGTGTCAGGAATACATTTCACCACCTGCCCAATTTCTTGAACACATTAATAACATATGATGTCTCAGAATAAAAATAAATCATAAAAAATGTTGTTTTATTTTGCTTTAACCTGTTTTTTCTCACATGACAAATATCTCTTTTTAAACATATTGATACAAAATTAAGTTCATATTCTCAATATTACTAGTTAGTGCTTTTAAACTAATTACAAAAAATATAATAAAATATCTGTTCACGTCAGGCCCAAGTCCCCATACTAAGTGGACAATCTCCTTTATCATTTATATAAACAATACAACTTTACTATTATTTATTCACGACACAAGACGCTTATTAAAGGTTAAATTAGTTCAGTAGTCTAAAACACACCTACAGCTTCCTATAATAATGCGTTTGCTCAAAGAGTTAGCCAATATAAGATGAGAGGAGTATGAAGTTGATAACATTTTAATGATACATACAACAACCCCCAGATTTGTTCCCTGCTGTTTAGTTCTGATGCTGACAAGTCTAATGTCCCTTAGTAATAACATCACACTTTACAATAATAATAAATAAAAATTCTTTATTTTCTTTAACAAACTTGTACTTAAATATAAAGTTATAGGAGTCGGAGTCTCCTTTTAAGCATATGAAAAGCCTGTGCCAGGAAACTCCGCTGTTCCATATCACGAATTAGGTACAAGTATACAAGATATTTAAGGGACAACAATAATAAAGAAACAATATAAAAAAGTAATAATAACAGAAGTAATTACCATAAAGGAAGCAAATGTGGGATTAAAATGTATGTGTATGCATGCGTGCGCGTGCGTATTTGTGTTTTGAATATATAACAACGTATTTATTTATTTTATTATATAAATAAGTAAGCAGATCTATTATCATACTGAATCCTAGCGAAGACTGTTTTAGTAGCAGGGATAGATATGACATTATATGCTATACGTTTATTGAGTAACGATGTATCGAATACAATTATATACAATTTCCGTACAGTTAACAAACCACTTTCTTTATAGAGTCTTTCTGTACTGAACCGTTGTTTTTTAAAGAACATTACTTTAATCAATGCTCTTTGAGCTCGTTCAATTTCTATGAATCGTGTTTTACGTGCACCTCCCCAAATAGGTAAGCAGTATGTTATTATGGATTGCACCAAAGCTATATAAATTTGATTTTAAAGATTGTTTGAGGAGTCATTTACAATATTATTAGCTGCAATATGTCTCAGTGATTTGAACATCCACGTGAACTTCCTAATGCGCACCGCAACATGTTCAATTTGCGGGTACCATGACAAGTTCTGGTCGACCATTATTCCCAAGTATTTTATTAAACTCACTTTATTTATTAATGGACATTTGCAGTTATTACCTCTTACGTTATTACAATTATGAATTTTTATAAGAAAATTTGTTTTGGGTTGTGAACTATTTTTTATACTGAAAGTGATAAAGTTAGTTTTACAAGACCAGCATACTTCCTGTCACGTCGTTGCATGCGCGTGCTTCACCCACGCTCGTCCCTCAACAATAAACAAACTGCAAGTGTTACAAAACAAATTACTACAACGATGTCTTGATGAGGCGCTCTTGGGACGGGCCTACTCCTTAATTACATACCCGAAGGGCCCGTATATAACGGGTAGGTCCCGTCGGGCCAACCACTCCTCCTAGTGACACTGTCAAGACTCAAGGCCAAAAGTTACAGTGAAGTAGAAACTAAAATATAATTATTATTTAAGAAGACATTTACGAAAACAATATCGTTTTAATTATTCTCCTTAAAAGGCCGTTGTGTATTGTAACTAGAGTTTATTATAAAATTAATATAATCGACATCTAGAATATAATCTATCAAACATGATTTCATTAGCAGGTAATATCAGTTTTACTCATAAACTAATCATTTCAAAGTCTTTAAGACATCCATTCAGGACTCCGATCAGCATCTCTTGCTCAGCAATATTGTTGTGCTATAATATTATGCTCCGACTGGGCTTGATTTACATATATACAGAAAAACTAGTTTCATTTAAAAATGTACACATGTGTCTGGCTTGAAACTAAAACCCAATTAGTTATTTATCTTCGTGTTTAGTATTAGTAATAGAGAAATAGATGCTAAAGCTTAAGATCATCTCTTTTGGTGAGAATATATGTTATATACAAATATCTTATTGTGTTGTTGTCTACGGTATCGTTTACATAAATTTAAAAATTGTGTGTCAGAGACAGGGCTATAACAATGTTGATGAAATGAAATATACTGAGGGGTTTAATATGTTTGTATCTTGTATAGTTATCAATGAACAGTTCTAAAATAAATTAGAATACAAAGAAATTACTTAATATATGGCGTTGTTACCAATCACTTAGCCAATGAATATATAGTTCTGTTTAAATGAAACTAACACTTGGATTTACAACATATTTATTTTGATATTTTACATATTAACAGACGTTTCGGCTTCTCTTTAGTAACAGTAATCACGAACAGACGAGATGAAAAAGTCTGCATTTAGTCTTATTATTACATTATTACAGTTATGAAAGTGGAGCAATTTTCCTTGTAGTCTTTATTTACTAGTTCACCTAACTACATATATATGATAATTAACGATGAAAGAGAAATGACAATTATGATATACCTATTTCTGTACACATACGTGTCTTAAAGACTATAGTGAATTTAAACATCTCAACATCAATGTAAGCTATATACATTTATATTAATTTATTTTACGAAAAATCATATTGCATCTTAAATTTAAATAAACATATTATATTAAATAGAACGTGTAAAACGGATGGATGTTAGTGAGAAGTTCGAAGTGTTTGTACGTGTAAAACTTGCACAAGATTGGTGTTGGTCCTACGCTAGCGTAGCATTCGCTCATCGGATTCTGAAACCCCTTCAGACTCTCTATAACTGCTTCCTATTCACGATCACGGGCGCCCCGTGGTACCACTATCCCAATCCTCTGGTGAAGGAAGTGATGACCTACCTCCCAAATAGATATCGTGAGGGTGTTAGGAGACGCCTCAAGCACGTGCTCAGCGATCCGGAACAAGAAATTACGACTAGCAATAAACGATGCGCCGTGCGAGCGGTGCACATTTATAAAAACGGGCCGACCGACCGAACACACATCCGCGGGGTGCCTTGTGAAATCCCGACAGAGTCCATTCTTAGTAACCTTAAGTCACAAGAATTTCCGGTCCAGGCAGTACACCGAATGTACCGCCCGACAAACAAGAAACCGTTCAATATGGTGCTTGTCCACTTGGACAACACCAAAGAGGCAAAAGCCATTTTTAATATACACACGGTCTGCTACCTGTCCGGCTTACAGGTAGAGCTCCCCCGCGGCCGTAGCATCCCTGGGCAGTGTCATCGCTGCCAATGCTACGGCCATTCCGCTAGATTTTGTTACGCACGCCCGAGATGCATGAAATGCCTAGGCGACCACGCGACGGTCGAGTGTTCCGATGGTGTTTGTGTTACGTGTCAACAAGTTACAGAAGAGGTCATAAGATCGACGTGTCCGGCGTCGATAGAAGTATCAGGAAAAGGGTAGCAGTCACCGTCGTATAGTCGCCGTTGTCCTGCCACCCTCATAAGGTATTTACACAGTCGTTAGGGGTTAGGGAAATAGGTACACCCCTGTTACCTAATAACAGGGTCTAGATTAGAATCAAATAGATTACATACCTCCCTGCCTTGCAGGGAGGACTCCCCTTAAGTCCGTCGAACATCATGGGTGACCATATTTCGGGCCGTGCAGAGGCCCTATTAGCGTTCATTATCAAAAAATATCCAGATGCGTACAAGGAGTTCACCGAGGTGAACCCTGAAGTAAACCCCACCGTTTTCGATACGGACAGCCCCGCCTCACCGGACTGTCCAAAAAGCAATCCATGTGACCAGTGGCGGCTGGTGGGTTATCGAACTGGTGGTTCACTTTACTAAAATATTGACAAAAACAACAATTGACATAAAATATGTTTATTTTTTGTACATTAATTCATAACTATATCCAACTCTGATACAAAGTCTATTAATCCACGAAACACTCCAGCATTACTGGACTCAATAGTTTCATCGTGACCTCGCAAAGCTAACTCAAATGCACCACAAAACTTGACACAATCGATAAGACGTGATAAAATGTATCTGTTTTTATCAACTTGTTTATTATACTTTTGGATATTACTTCTATACACAGAATCTAGCTGATTACGAATATCGACTGTGCCTAACACAGACAAACTCATTACATTTTGTAGGTGTACTTGTGAAGAATCGTGTTTTTTATTTTTTCACTTAAATGCGTCAAATCGATTCTCCGCCAAAAATAATGCAAGAAAAACAAAAGAATGCATTAAGACGCTCACATCCACACAACCATTTCTTTCTATTATACATTTCACTTTTAAAACTTCGTATAAATGCTTTACTTTTCGATTTACACTCTTGTTTTAAATTTAAAAAGGGCCGTGGCGGCCCGGCCAATTTTATGTTCACTTTACTTTGAAAAATTTTGTTATTTTCTTTAATATAATCAATATTTATACTCATTTTCAACTAATAAAAAACACAGTACAGAATAAAAGTTCTATTATAGAAACGAAATAAAAACTAAAACGAATTACGGAAATAATTATAAACAATAACGAATTAACGCGTCACGCATACAGTGAAAGTTGAAACAATACCAATAACGATTAACGAAATGTCAATCATAGCACCCATCCTTTCGGCCGGCCCCTTGCCGGCCGGCTCAATACGTCATACATCGGGTGCTCTCGGTAACCTTCGGCCGCTTCGTGCGGCGCGCGAGAACCGACTCGTTACTCGGTACATTTCTATGAACTATCTTTTGTCTCACGCGCCAGGCGTATTAATGCGTGTCTCATACAAGATGTATTGGCAGTCCTCGTGCACTCGCCGGAGCGCACGTATGAGTTTAGTAAAGCGCTCAAACTTTTTGACCATAATTGGAAATTAAATTTTTTATACCTTTTTGTATGTTTAAAAAATAAATATTAAAATGGTAATTTAAAAATTAAGATGACATAATATTTTGTAATTTTTAAATATTTTGAATTGGTGGTTCAGCGCACGGGCGCACTTAAGGTACAGCCGCCACTGCATGTGACATGGATTGCTCGCCAATCGGCTCGGAAGCCGACTCAGGCCTCGGCCTCGAATTTAGCGGGCAGCGGAGCGGCAGCGGCGGCGGCACGAAAACGCATACATTTCTCCGTGCCCGCTGCCCGCTAGTTTGGAGAATAGTATGCGTTTCCGTGCCGCCGCCGCTGCCGCCCCGCTACCCGCGAGATTCGAGGCCGAGGCCTCAGACACGACGCCGTCCTCCTCGGACACAGAGGAGGATAACGACGGGTTCAAACCCGTCCTTACCAAATCTGGTAAGAGGAAGGCGGCAAAATCACTCAAGGCGCCGCCGCCAAACAAAAAACCATCGACCCCAGCAGCTGCCGGTGCAGCTGCGCACGTACCTGCGGGCACACCTGTGTCCGCACCTGTGTCCGCTCCTGCGGGTCTACCTGGGTCCGCACCCAAAGCATTTACAAAATACCCGCCGCCGTTATACATTAGAACCAATAAGAGCTGGAACGCCATATCCAGCCTCTTAAACGACAAAAAGATAAAATACGTGTCGGCACGTAATACTCAGGCGGGAATTAAGGTCACCGCGGCCACACCGAATGACCATCGCGCGTTATCCGCGATGCTTAGACTACAAAAATTAGAATACCACACCTACGCCCTCCCGGAGGAGCGTAGGCTAACAGTCGTCATCAAGGGTCTCCCCGCGGAGATTCCCATTGATGAAATAAAAGAGGACCTTAAGTCCCAAAACCTGCCAGTTTTAGAGGTGCATTGTATGCACCGACCAAATAAAAACCCGTTCGATATGGTGCTAGTCCACCTATCACTAACCCCGGAAGGTAAGAAAATATTCAACATCGCATCAGTTTGTCATCTTTCCGGACTGACTATAGAGCCACCGCGGAACCGCGGAGCCCCGGGGCAATGTCACCGTTGCCAACTTTACGGGCACTCGCAGAGGTTCTGTTACGCACGCCCGCGCTGCGTAAAGTGCCTAGGCGACCACGCCACAACAGACTGCACGAGGGATGCGGCTACGGTGGAACCGCCCAGCCGCGTCTTGTGCGGACAGAGACGGCTCCGGAGGAGAACCTAGATCGGCTCATCAAGAAGCATTTCGCCATAGAGTCGTTTGGGGTACAACCGCGTCGACCTACAACCGACGCGGAGGGCAAGGCGCGCCAGATATTAGAAAGTACCACCAAGCAGCTGAGAGATGGTCGTTTCGAAACTGGCCTCCTGTGGCGGAACGAAGATGAGCCGACTCCGGATAACCTGAGGTCAACAGAAAACCGGCTGCGCCACATTGAAAGGAAGCTGGACAGGGACCCGAAGCTCAAAGCGGAATACGGGAGGCAAGTCCAGCACCTGCTGGACAGCGGGTACGCCGACGAGGTTCCAGAAGACGGCGGCTCGGCGAGAAGATGGTATCTGCCGCATTTTGCCGTGACCCATCCCACAAAAAGAAGATTAGACCGGTCTTTGACGCCGCTGCGAAGTTCAACGGGAAAAGTTTGAATGATATATTATGGCCAGAGCACAGGAAATTCAAGACGTCTATCACCGGGGAGGAAAAAGAAGCCAAGCACCTCGTGGCCGTCGTTTCACCTAGCAGCCTTCCCACACCTGACCCGGTGAGATTCTCCCGGTGGGTAAGGCTCCTACGGGCAACCGCGAGGGTGCTTCAATTCGTTTTTAACTGTGCCGCAGGGAAAGGACTCTAAGCACACGATCCAGCGACCCGGTGTGGACAAAGAAACACAATAAAAAGAAAACGAAGGCACAGCACTCAGCTCCACTCGCAATAAAGGAGCGGTACCGTCCCCTGGAGCCCGAATGGCTAAAAAAGACGGAAGAATTGCTACTACGAAGAAGCCAAGAATGATTCAAAGAGGAAAGAAAGGCTGTGGAGAGCCAGCAACCCCTAGACCGGAAGAGCAAACTTAAACGGCTGGATATCGCCGTGAACGATGGGCTTATAAGGATCCGCGGCAGGATCGACGCCGCCGAAGAACTCGACCGCGATCTCAGGCAGCCAGTAGTGTTAGACGCGAAAGATGACATTACGAAGTTGATCCTGACCCATTACCACGATAAGTTCAATCACGGTAACCACGCTACCGTGATGAACGAAGTAAGGAGAAGGTTTTGGGTCCTGGACCTGAGATCAGCGGTGCGAGCGATAGCCCATCGGTGCCAGTGGTGTCTAGTACGTAAGGGCACTCCGAAGACCCCACCCACGGGAGATCTACCGCGGGAACGGCTCCGATACGGCGAGCCACCTTTCACTTGTACCGCGGTGGATTATTTCGACCCAATGACGGTCACCGTGGGGAGGAGAAACGAGAAGCGGTGGGGGGGATTGTTCACTTGCCTCACCACCAGAGCGATTCATTTAGAGTTGGTCGCCTCATTATCGGCCGACTCGATGACACTGGCGCTCAGAAGGATGACGGCCCGCCGGGGTTGGCCCAAGGTTATGTTTAGTGACAACGGGACCAATTTCGTGCGGGCTAACAAAGAAGTTATCGAGGCGCTCGGAGCGGAAGCACAATTGAAGGGCGTCAGGTGGAAGTTCATACCACCTGGTGCCCCGAACATGGGAGGCGCGTGGGAGCGTCTGGTGGCCTCCGTGAAGACGGCCCTCTCCGCGACGTTGAAAGAAAGGAAACCAAGGGAAGAAGTTTTGCATTCCTTGCTTTTGGAGGCCGTGCATATAATAAACTCGCGGCCACTAATAGAAGTAGATGACCACAAGGAAGAGTCTCTGACCCCGAACCATTTCCTGATTGGGAGGTCTTGCGGGGCGCCGACGATGGGAACATTCACTGAAGACGAGGTCAAGGGTAGGACATGGAAAGCAGCGCAACATCTAGCGGACCACTTCTGGGCGAGGTGGATGAAAGAATACCTCCCTACTCTTGTTCCTCGTCGAATTGGAGGCGGCGCCGACACCGCAGATCTTCAGGAGGGGGACGTGGTCATCGTTGTGGACTTGACGCTACCAAGAAACTCGTGGCCGCGAGGAGAAGTGATAAGGGTTTACCCAGGCCCCGACGGGCGAACGCGCGTAGTAGACGTGCGCACCTCCACTGGCCTTATAAAAAGGCCGAGCTCGAAGATTGTAAGGCTGGTGAGCCAGCCCACCGTTGAAGACAAGATCGCCGAGCAGCAGCGCGGCGGTCCGGAACAGCTTCGCGTCGCCGGACAAGAGGATGGTGCGAAGCACGAGGGGGAGGATGTCGGCGACGCAGCTAATACTTAGTAGATAATTAGATTTAAATATAAGAGATGTAAATATTAAGGAAATTAGGTTAATTTTTATATAGAAATTGTATGTTTAATAAATAAAAGACTGTACGGAAAGCGACTCTTGTAAGAGCGCATCATGTTAATTATAAATGTACACGTATAACTATGAATATATCTATGAGCGTCTCTTGCAAGAGCGCAGTCTATTGTTGTAAACTCGATGCGAACCTATTGAACAATAAACGTACGGCGGTAGAGTCACTTGGAAGGGGCGGGGCATTCGCGCTGACTCACAGCGGTGCTAGGTGCGCGCGCGCAACGCGTATAGAACACGGCCGCTGTGAGTCGAAAAGTAATCTTAATCTTTACCAGAAGCAATCGAGTAGGCATCCCCTACAGAAAGGTCTCACTTTACGATAGTCCCATTCCTTGGCAAAAAAGAGCCAAATATCTGGGGGTTACTCTAGATAGTTATTTCAGCTTTAATCCCCACATTCGAACTGTCAGAAATAGGGCATCCTTCATCTTAGGTCGCCTATACCCCCTCATCTGCAGTAAAAGTAAACTGTCCCTTAGAAATAAGG